ACACAGAGCGGGAGGAAAGGCGCGATGCCCAGCGCTTCGCTTTTACGGCTGGGAGTGGGAGAGAAACCGAACGCGGGGACCAGGGAGTGCTGCACGGCCGCTCCCGACTTACGGCACCAAAATCCACGCTCCTGCCTCAAAACACACCGTTCCTTCAGCTCAGCTCCGGGACAACTTGCAGCAAATAAATAAACCCAAGTGTTTGTCCCTTGCTGTACCGCAGCGGGCATCCCTCCACGAACCAGACGGATCACAGACAGGTCGGTCTGTCCGTGCAGAATCCAAACAGGTCCCAAAAGCCTGGAGAAGGACCCTGATATCCACACTCCCACCCCAAAGCCGCATTTCCCTCGTTGCTGGCTGCAGCATCATCCCATTAACATCCCTGCCAGGGCACCAGGCTGTGCCCAGCGATGTTTAGGAGCAGAGAAAATCAGGAAAGGTTTGGTGAGCAGGGGATGAAGCTTGTCCTCGAGAGGAGACGGGCAGTCCCATACCTGATTTTGCTATTCTGCTCTTTAGCCTTTAGATATTTGAAGATTAAAAATTATCCCTGCCTCAAACAAGCAAAACACAAAAACTACTTTTTTTTTTTAAAAAAAAAAAAAACTTGCTTTTTTTTTTTCCCCATAGCGAACACTCAGCCCTATTTATAACACATCAAACACACGCCATCCTTGGCCTTCAAAACATTTGCCTGCAGTCGAATGAAAACTTTCTCCCTCCAGATGCTGGCGTATCAAAGCCTTCCTCTTCCTCCTCTGCCTCTCAACAGAAAGTTCCCTTTGAGAAATAAAAATAACCCCAAAACCCCACAGATGAGCAAGCAGACACACAGCTCTACGCTGACTGCCTGCATCGGGAAAGAGCAAGTCCAGTGGAAAAAACCAGCCCCAAAAAAAACTTTTAAAGGTGCTGTTAATGTTTTGAACCCCAGATGAAGAGGGCTTGAGCGCAGCACGACAAGTAGAGATGCGTAGAAGAAGCGGTTAAGGAAAACCAGTGCTCACTGAGATGACCAGGGCTCACTGGGATGACCAGTGCTCACTGGGATGACCAGGGCTCACTGGGGAGGACCAGGGCGGACTGGGACGGCTGGTCCCCAGTTTCCGCCGTGCCCAGGGGTGCAGATCTGTGGCTGCTTTGTAAAAGCTCAATCAAGCCATCGCCACCGCTCCGGCTCAGCACAGCGCGACTCCGCGGCATTCCCTGTAATTTCTACTCATCATCCCCGGCAGCTTTACCATCACAGTGTCGGCGGCAGTGGGGCGGCCACAGCTCCACGGAGCCGACGTGACAATTTACCCTGTCACCGCGTGTGTATTTAAAGCTTTGAAATAAACAGGTGGGAAATGGGTTTAGTCACTCGGCGCAGTCCCGGAGCTCTCCTGGCTGCAGAACCCCCAAAAAAGCCTCCTCCAAGCACACCCCCCGTTTCTACCAGCGTGTCCAGGAGAGGCAGGAGCTCGGGGGTGTCACAGCGCCTGGAAAACACCCGGGGTCCCCCCGCAGCACCCTGCAGCGGCTCCTCGCAGAACTGGCTCGTGCTGGGAGGTGTCCCGGGGCCGCCGGCAATCCCCCGCGGATGTCTGAGCGCCGCTGTGCCGCCTGTCTGCGTGTCATTAAAAGTTAATTGTCACCTTCTGGGTGTAATCCTTGGAAATGAGGTGGGAGCGGAAGGTGCTGGTCCGACAGCACCCAGCAGTTGGGATCCAGAGGGTGCTAGGCTTCGCCATTTCAGGTCCATCTCCAGCTCGTGGCACACGGAGCTGGGAACTGGGAAGAGACGACGGGTGGAATGCAAACCCACCGAGAGCTTTAACGCCGTGCACAGCCCAGGTTCTGTCTGTGCACCTCAGCTTTGGAGATCTGACTCTATTCTGCCTCCTTAGACGCTTTTAAGCTTTTTTTTCATTTTTTTTTTTAAATTAAAAATGGAAGGCATCCTTTGGTAAGGAAGGCCAGCAGACACCCCAGTTTAAGGAGAGACCGGCACACCCACAGCAAAGCACGATCTGAGCAACTCCCGACCTACTTCCAGGAGAAGAAAACAGATCCGAGCGTTTATTGCGCGGAACAGGGGATGAGCAATTACCACCAGCCTCCTCCCGGGGCCGAAGGAACGAAGAGGAAGGAACGAAGAGGAAGGCGCGATCCCCAGCAGATCCCCACAGCGGGGGGACTGGAGGCACCCAGCAGCTCCGAGGTCCTCGCGGGGCTGAGCACCGCTGCACCCGCTGGATTTTCTCACCCCAAAAGCCAAAGCTCTCCTCCCCCTCCGAGCAAGGACCTGCTGCTGGTGCCCAACATCCACCGTTGACGGAACCTCTCTTGGGACACACGGACCTCACCGCTCTCCCTGTGAAATAGCTCACTGGAGCATTTTTTCTCTGTTATCCAACCCTCCATCTTCTCCCTGACCTTCCTGCCTTTATTTTTCCTGTTCCCACCTCTCACGAGGAGGGTCAGTCCTGGCTGATTCTGGCCACCCCAGCACCAGCGATGTATTCCTGCAAAGGCACAGAGAGATGCTCCGCTGCCTCCACACACGCGCACAGGGAAAACGTGTCTCGAAACCAACCGAGCTTCCACCTCCTCACCATCTGAGCTGGGGATCTAACCACGCTCCACCCGAGGCCAGAGGAATCGCCCTGAACTGGAGCAGGAAGGTCAGCCCAGAACAATGAAGAGCTCCTTCCCTTCCCTCCTGCCAAGGCAGAAAGCCTTCAAAGTGACCTCGGGTTGGAATTTTATCATCTAGAAACCGCAAAGCAAGAGCTGCTGCATGCGCAGAGAGTTTTCTA